AAGTCCGTACGCCGACTATTTCATCTTCACCATCCTCAAAAGCAATCTCCTCCCCACCCTCATCGATCATCTTCCTCCTATTCTCAAATTCTTTATCATGAAGCTCTCTCACTCTTTCCCTCCTGCGAAATTCAAATTGTTCACTAAGTTCTCATTACATATACAATAGCTCTATGATACAACTAAGAACAGACGTCGATAAAGCTAGCAAGAGTTCAATCAATCGTTATCAATGCCAGAACCCTCGAAATTAAAAATAATAAAAAAGTATAAAGACTTCCCAATCTCGATATCCTCCATCCTCATTCAAATAGGTTTCAAGTATATGTCTTCTTGTTGTTTTAACCTAGCTTATTCGTCATATAATCGAGAAAGGTGGTGTTGGGTTAGGACTAAAGACAAAAACACTTTGGTTTCCAATTAACTAATCAAAGCACCAAAAAGTTGATAAACATTCATTCTAATATTCCATCCTTCGGTTTACAAAAATGAATTAAGAACCCAATTTTCCCGCCTTTTCACGCAATTAATAAATTATACAGTCTTGCTTTGTAGACTAACTATGGTCAATGGAACAAAAGGGGGAGCTAAGTAAGCTTATTATATATGGTGGACTCAACAAACAAGGGCCACCTAGCAACTATGTGTTAGTATTTTTAGAGGGGAAGATGCCCCTAAAGAGCCTACAAAATTGCGGGTTTCCTTTCAGTTGAATGCCACTAAGTACAAAAGCGAATAGTAGGCAAGGCTGTCATAGAATACGCACGTATTGTGATTAAGGATATCATAAAATAGATTACGCCTCAATTGATGTTTTGTGTGGTTGGGCGAGTCTCAACGATGAATTTTACATCTTGCTCATTGAGTTTGAAGTTGCGAAATACATTAATGTATTGCATGTGAATCTAGCTCGATTGGATAGACCATTAATACTATCGAGATGCACTAGAATGAATTATTTGTATCATGTCATAAAGAAGTTCGTCGAATATAAAACTCAAAACTATTAAAGAGGGCCAAGAATGAATTATAAATCAATAATTTGTTAAAAATAGAGTTAATCAACAAATGCATTCATGTATGCATGTATCAGTAAACAACTGATTTATGCTAATAACTCAAAATGTTATGAGAATCTTTCAAACAAAACATCCTCTTTTACGAATTAATTTATAGTTTATACGAAGTTCGAACCATCATATCTTAATTGATAACGTCATAAACTAGTTCGAACCCAAGACCAATCCATGAAAAAAAAAGACCCACAGTAGTATTTTAACGAATCAAACTATTCTCGCAACCCGAGTTGTTATAACTACTTATCTACATTCTTATTATTATACATTTATACTACTAGTAAGGAGAAAAGAGAATCCACTAACCGAAATCTCTCGCATGCAATGTAGAACAGGGAAAGTTAGGATCGGGGAATATCAATTTTAACTACTAAAGATTCATAAAAGTAGAGATGGTAGAGTAGGCAAATTTTCAAGCCTGCCCATCAATCAAAATGCCAGCCTTTTTTTTTAAATGAGTTGCTTGCTGGATTTTGCCCTTTTGCTCGATTTGAGGCATCAAAGAAAAAGACCCTCCCATTGCCAAAGGACACCATATTTTCGAAACCAAACCAACCGACCACATGATCGCCATAACAGAAACATGCAAACTAGTATGTATATCTATGTGGCCATAACTAATGATCACATATATATGAACATTATATGCACATAGTTCCTCTAATTATCGACTTTGGTTCATAAACACTTATTGAGGAGACTATTATAGGAGATGTGTTGTACATAAATCCAAAAATGTTTGGCTTGGCCCGTTAATCAAGCAAAGCGTGTTAGCATTAAAAAAGGAACTAATTTAAGCTAGCTAATCAGTTAGTAGAGTTAGAGTAGTACTAACCTCCACCATCTTCCCATGTGCATTTCCTCTCCCATCAAATGTGCACAAGACACAATAGTCCCATGCTTCCTCCCATGTGTCCCTATCTCATTTGTTCCCTCCCCTCTCTCTCCTCTTCTTCACCCTCACACTAGAGTTGAGGACAATTGGATGTCGCTCGATCGATCTCTAAAACGTCACCGTCTTTCTTGATGATGATAGACACATGTGGTCACGATATCGTCCAATGATATGATTATGATCAGTCTATTCTTTCTCTATGACCCAATTGACTCGTGGTCGAACCGATAATTAACCATGCATTACTTGTATATAGGTTAGTTTAGAATTAGATAAGATTGTTGCGGCTCAAAATGATCAGACTCGTCTCGTGCTTTGATCATTTGTTTGATTAATTAGCTTCTGATAGGATAAATCAAAAGTGAATTCGATTCTTATAACCTATCATACGAAGAGAATTCTTTAATGATCACTAACACGTTGTGTGTGAGTATGTGCTAGCTTTTCTATCATGTATGTATAAAGAACATGATAGAATAAGCTAAATTTATGCATTACTCATCATAAAAAGAAAATAGAAAAATAGAAAGCAACCATCTGAACTCAAACAATTTTATCTCCACGCCGAATGGACGGCTTGCAAATGAAAAGTGTGTGTTAAACTTTTCTTTATATATATAACCAACCTTCCCTCCAACACTTTCCCCTACCCTTCCTCTTCCTCTGCCTCCTCAATCCACAACTTACAGAGAGACAGAGAGAAAGAAGAGAAGCCTAATCTGAGAAAAAGAGAGAGAGATGGGGAAAATTTCAATGAAGATGCTGAAGATGAAGTCCAAGAAGTTCTGCAAAGGGATCAGCTTCAAGCTAATTGGCGGGAGCAAGAGAAACAACAGTATTGATGACCAAAAGAGCCCATCATCGTCATCACTATCATCTTCTTCCTCCACTTCTTCTTCATTTTCATCTTCATCATCATCATCATCAAGCTCTTACATTGGTGAGATCAAGTGGGAGGTTAGGCCTGGAGGGATGCTGGTCCAAAAGAGGCAAAATGGTGATGACCATAGCACCATTGGGGAGCTAATCACACTCAGAGTCTCGACAGTCTCTCAATGGCATGACATCTCCATTGAAGCCACTTCTACCTTTGGTAAGTAGTGCTTGCTCAAGCATCCTTTGTTATAGAGACTATAGTCATCTCCAGATCACTGGTTTGTAACTATTTTGTTCTTTCAGACATCTGATGTTGTCGTGTCTCTGATCGATTCGGTGAATTTGTTGTTTTTTCAGGGGAATTGAAGATGGTGTTGGCAATGGTGACAAACTTGGAGCCAAAGGAGCAGAGGGTATTGTTCAAAGGGAAAGAGAGGGAGGATTGTGAGTTCCTCCACATGGTTGGGGTTAGAGACAAAGACAAAGTGTTGCTTTTGGAAGATCCAGCCATCAAGGAGATGAAGCTCATGAGGCGCCTCCATGGCTTGTCTTCTTCTTCTTCTTCACCATTACCATCTTGTACTCGTACCATTAGTGTATAATTAATTAACTGATCAAGAAAAGTGAAAACACAAACATGGATTAATTACCACTACTAAGTACCTACTAACCAACCACTCCCCAATGAGAACCCATAAACATTTTGAAGATGGGTTTATTTCTTCTTTTTCAATATTTCTCTCCCTTTCTCTTTTTACTAGATTAATTCGTATTATCATCGTGTAGTACGATCGATCATCTATGAAAAAGGATTAGTCTTTACTCTTGGCGATGCATACTTTGATAATAAACCAAAAAGTTTGATCTAATTATGTGTACTTAGTTAACTAGTTTATTATGTCTATGTAATTGGGTTTTGCCAGCTTGACAAAGTTATTATTATGAGTAAAGCTGATGCTGATCCAAGTCATGTAGTTTGGATCTTTCTCTACACTTGCCAAAAAATTTATATGAGTTATATATATGAGGGTTTTACTTTACATTATACTAAAATATTATACTAAAATATGGTTTGATTCTGGCTGTCTGCCTCAACATCATTATCATCATCCTATATATAAAATGTGTTTGGTTAGTAAGAAAATTGATCAATTGTTTTAATTTCAAAGGCTGTAGTAATCCCACGGGTACACATCGACATAATTAACTATGATAGTGACTTGGAAAGGATAATTGGGTCACATAAGAGCTGGCTTCTTGGACTAAACTTTTTGGCAATAATAATGATATATAAATATTTTTGCACAATCTCTTTTGAGTATTATTATTAGGAGACTATTGCACCTAGGTAAATAACAAACGAGTTGAATACAGAGGTTAAACGAGCATCCCACACCCAAAAGGTACCCCGTATAGGTTTTCCCGAACCCCTCAGTAACTAAAGTAAACAACGTAAAAAAAGCACACATTTCAATACCGATTCCGGAAGAGCGAAGAAAAAAGAGATATTTTGTTAGTAGAAAAAAGAGAGTGTTTATAGCCGTCGGCAAAGATTAGGGGACTCATTTTCAGTGCTTTACTTGAACGCAGTTGGGGGCAATTTGGTTCAACAACCCAACCATCCCACGAGCCACGCTTAAATATGTGTGACAATTGTACCTATAATTACCATGTTCTCATATATGTCATAAATTTAATTTTTATATAATTTTCATTGTTGTCTTCCACAAAAACCTTGAAGGAGTACCATTCTGAAAAATTCAACATCCATCTCTCATGAAAATGAAGAGAACATAAATTTATAAATTCAACATAAAAACGATACTAAAATGAATATTCCAAACACGTAACGCTACCATATTCTCAACACTTAATATTTTGCTTCTTCTTTGTAGATTCACTCGAGATTCTGAGTATAGCTAAGAGGTCCCAATGTTTCCAAGTAAACATATCCCTGGCATAAAAGATGAACCCTTAACAAATTAAAAGAAGAAAAGCAACACACATGACATCACATAAACCTCACAAAACACTTAACCATCCATCATGTAACCAAAAAAAAAAAAAAACACACACACAAAAGCGCAACCAAACCTTAAACGTATTACAAAAGCATTAACACACAAACACCTACATTCCCTCCCATATATGATTCACTTCCCCTGAATCTCAATGACTCTCCTCTCGACCTTCTTGACTTCCCCCTTAGGCACCACCACCTTCAGCACCCCATCTTCCACGGAAGCCTTGATCGCCTCGCCGCCGTCGGTCCTCACATTTTCCGGCAGCCGGAACCTTCTCAGAAACTTCCCCCGGCACCTCTCGACCCGATGCCACTTCGCTCCGTCCTTATTCTCCCCCTCATCATCATCGTGGGGCCTCTCCCCGCTGAGTTGAAGCACTCTACCGTCGTCCACCAGCTCCACCTTCACCTCTTCCTTCTTCAGCCCGGGGACGTCGGAGGTGAAGATGTGGGCTTCATGGGTTTCCTTCCAGTCCGTCGGAGTGTTGAGCACCGGGCATCTGTTGATCATCGAGAGGAATGGGTCCAGCATTTCTTGGTCGCCAAAGAGTTGGGTGATTAGTGACATAATTGTGTTTTGAGGGTGGTTTTTTTGGAAAGATGGATGTACATATGTGGCCTAATAGTAGAGCTTAATTAGGATTTTGGGATGGTCGATTGATGTTGTTGTGGAGAGAAGATTTTGATGGTTGGTTGGAGGGGTTTATATAATTGGTGGTGGGAATTGGGGGAGAGAGTTTGTCTTGAACCTTCTTGTGTATTCTCATAAATCCTTTTTTTCTTTGGGTAATGCACTAATGCTAATTTGGCCTTTGAACTTGTTGACACTTTTCTTCCTAAGTCCAAAATGAGTTCAAGAAATTTCTAGGCAATTCTAACTTCTAAATGAATTTGCCTTTGAACTTGTTGACACTTTTCTTCCTAAGTCCAAAATGAGTTCAAGAAATTTCTAGGCAATTCTAACTTCTAAATGAATTTGCCTTTGAACTTGTTGACACTTTTCTTCCTAAGTCCAAAATGAGTTCAAGAAATTTCTAGGCAATTCTAACTTCTAAATGAATTTCGTTAAAGGTTGACAAAATTTGTTGGTAAGGTAGCTTTCCTATTATTCTAATAAAATTCATGTTTTACCTTGGATGCACATTCACTTCCAAACTCCGTTATATTTGTATAAAACAAACGACTACTAAAAGATTATGAAGTTCTATATTAGTTCTCGTTTAAAAAAAAAGTTCGAGTAATCATTAGGATATACATATGGTGGCTTTTACGGTATACCGAGTGAAATTCAGGGAACTTTAAGTATGAAAACACTATCTAAATCTTGATTTACTTAGTAGAATTTTTGGGTCTGATACTATATTCTAATGCTTAATGAGTGAATCATAGGCCCCAATTATCTAAATCGTAAGCTATAAACCTTAAGATGGTGCATTTATTTTTCGTCTTTATTTGGACGAATCATAACTGTTAATTATTATTTCTAATTAAATTGATTTTCGGGTATAAAATTTAGAGAACTAAGACCTAGATTTTAATCTTTAGGCAATTCAAGGTCTAGATAACAACATTTTCTACTTAAGGTATGTGGTACCCTGAATTTTACCCTAGGACCGTATAACTCATCATATATATATGGAAGACATTTTAGAAACCAAATTCAATTTTGGAACCTTTTATATAAGAATTTTGTAATGTGGGGTTCCTAGTTTCTACTATCTTCTTGTAGTTCTAGACAATGATGGCCACTAGAACTTTTCCTTGGCCCTACATACCATACATGTCACATTCATCTATAATGGATTACATTCCCCTTCAACTAAAATTGGATAAGGGATGATCAAACTACACCTTATTAGTTGTAACTTGTAACTAGATAAACCAACTCTTCCATAGACAATTCGGAATGGGCTTCTCCCCCCTCAGCCCGTTGGAGAATGGGAAGCTTTTTGGCGTGGGTAGAGCTTGGGCTTGACGATCTCTGGGCTTGCAATCGAGCCATCCAATTGTGCACCATGCGTAAATAACCTGATTACCTATCATTTTCATATTAGGAATAGATTGCGAGATTTAATATGAAGATTTCTTATTACGACATTATTTTAACAATACAAGGGTGGAATTGATGTAATGTTTAAGGAAGGGTAGAATTGATGTAATTCAAAGTAAATAGCATGTTTGAGAAAAATTTAAAGTAAAGAAGCATATTATACATATAACCTTTTTTAATTTATACAAAACTTTTGAAAGTACTTGTTGAATGCATTCTTTGCATCACAATATTTATACATGAACAAATTCGAGAATTTCGTTTCTATCTTCTCATAAGAGTAAAAACTTCGTCTTCGTCGTACAAAAGTATAATAATATAAATCATTATCATATTTTTCTTTTCCACAACATCCATCTTACAGATTTCTGGAAATTGTGCCACTAGTTTGTATATTTTGCATCTTCATGACGGTTCTTCAAACAAAGAATTAGTGGTTGGGGTCACATTTATGGGCCCATTTAGAGCCATTACGTATTTGATAACAACTGCAACAGTGCTTGGTGCAATTTTAACACTTTGAAAGTCACATTCCAACCAGACACAATAAATGATGGGAATATATATAGTTTCCTGCAAATGTAAACAGATTACAGAACCCCTTTTGGTCCAAAATTGGAGCGAGTTCAATTCACCATCCAAGGTAAGAATAGAATGAGATTAGGATGTGCCTCTAAACCATCAATAAGCCCATATTTGGCAAGTTTTGTGACAGAGGGAAATTAATTTCATTAGCATTGGTGACCTTGAGAACTAGAAGGGCATCTAGTTCTACATAGCAACTCATCTATTGTTGATACCCGACTAGCATACTCGCGTTTCATATGTTTTGAAATGATACATCATTTTCTTTGGTACCTTTTTAAAGTTACTTAGATGATGTTTATTCATCTATAGTGAATGTTCTTCTTACTAATCATAACCAGTTTTGTAATCTTAAGACGATCCATATGCAATGTTTGTCTTTGTCATATTCGATTATATGAATACACCATTTTTATGTCAACTTCAAACATTTGGGGAAACTATATGATAGTTTCCCCAAATTAATCAACGTTTTATGGATACCAAACTATTTTACAGAGTCAAAAATGATAAAGCATAAATTTAAACTATATCAATTTCAGTGTTTTAAGTACCAACCAAGTACCAACTCCTTTCTTTTTAGTAACCAGCTGGCTAATGCAAGATTCTAATGAGTTCATCAACCCACTTGACACTTGTGTCAAACTCGAAACAAATATAATTAATGGAGAGGGAAAAGAAGGAAAAGAGAGGCAGAGGCTCTCTGTTCATTTTAGCTCTCTCATAATAATTTCTTTTCTCCCCATCCCTTTCAGTACCCTCACCCAAGTTTTCCCCTCAAAGACACTTTCTTCCTTACCACTAGTCATGGCTACCTTTCCTTTGCTCCATTCACGACACTACCCCTTTTCCAAGCTCTCCTTCACCAAGTTCATACTGAAGCAGAGAGAGATGGAGTTTTATTTGTCCAGAGATCAATCAAGCCAGAGAGGCTACCTCCTTTTTCTTCTTGCTTTCTTTTACATGTTTATGGTGGTGATGATGGTGATCACATGGTGCTGCTAGTGGTGGTTAACACTTGATGTTAACGTTAATACCATGTATTGACAGAAGATAGAGAGCACAACTGAGCATACCCAGGGAAATGGCCTGTGTTTGTGCAGCTTCTTGTGCTCTCTTTTCTTCTGCCGATACAACAATATATATGGTTACCCACTAAGCTCTCACCAAGTGTGCATCATCATCATCATCATTTCTCTGGTTTGATCTCCATTCCATGTAGAGTTGGTTTTAGTTTCCCATAAGATTGAATTCCACTTGCTATGTTCATCTTACTTTCTTACTGTTCTGTTTAACTACAAGACATATCGTTTGGCATGTACTAGTTATGAGTGTGTATTCTTGATAGTAATATTAGAGGGAAGGGAATGCAGGAGTTTATTATGTTTGTTGCCATTGCCATGTTCATATCCTATAAGTTGTGTCCTTGCTAGGAACATTCGCCTACCAAGGAATATAGTACTAGTACTACTCATCTCTTGTTTATTCTCCTGCTTGAGAGACTGAATTCAGTAATATAAAAACTTTGGACTTTATATCTTCGGCCATGTGGCCTACTTCTCATAAGCTTCAGTTTCTTCTTTCCCTGTAGTTCTTGACAGATCAAGCTAGCTTTCTGTTTCCATATTCCCATCCTATGCTCTTGTCATTCCTGGTGGTACTTATTTTGATGAAAGTCAGCTCTGGCTTGTGACTATGATTAAGACCCTCTTTTTTACTTTTCTCTCTTTTGGTCGAGTAACAAAATGAAATAGAGGGTTTCAAGGTTATGTTTGTTTTGTTTTTTCCTGCCCAAAAAAACTGTAAACTACATTTCACCATCATTAGTGAGACCACAATCTCACAATCACAAGAGTGTTTCACAGTTAAATATTTATGGTCATGGTCATTCAAATCAATAGATGAATTGCGAGCGCGGAACTAGCACAATAATTCGGATACCAATAGATGGCACTTGAGCTCGACTCCAAGGGATCAAGAAGGCCAAAGGTGTGAATTCTTTTAGGTCTTTTAGAGAGCAACTTTTTACGAAATGGCAACAATGTTCAGTTATCTATAATTTGATTTATGCATTATCTTGTATGATGTGTTTGACAAGTCCTGACTTGAAAGCGAGGAGATGGCTGGATTATACCACACAGCCATCATTTTACCCACTGGAGCGTTCATGTTCTCCATTTAAGATCTTTTTGGCGGCCACAACTTGGAAAAGCTTCAATCTTTTCACCAATCTTCCCCACCTCCTTTGCTGTTTCAGGCCTTTGGCTTTGGGATTCTCCAGAGATTAATTTCGCCAGGTAAAGCTCAAGATTTGAAGTTCTTTATTGACAAGGAAAGCCAACCAATCCAGCCATCTACTGAGGTAAATGAAAAGGAAGGGTGAGCACAAGTACCCAAATTCTTGTTAGAGAAAAGCTGTAGCTTCTTCTTGGAATTGGGGAAATAAGAAATGTCAAACATCAAACCAACTACTAATCAACGTGACGTTTCCTGAAAATAGGTTTTTGGTTTTGCTTCTTGGGTTTGGACACATTGATTACAGTTCACCCATTTCCCCAATTGGAAAAGAAGCCCACAGATTACTGGTTTGCTTACCAGAAGACACAGCAAGAGGGATTGTGGTACTAATTGCTGGGATGGGACTACAGCAAGTCATCTTAAGATTGTACCTTCCCTTTCAAAATCTCAGAAATGAGCCTAACATAGTTCTTCACATGGGTATTTTGCTATTTCTTTTTAATTGTTCATACATTCTGAAGCATGTTTAGTGTTTACTGTTCGTACGTACTGCAGAGCTTGTTTTGTGCTTCTAGAGGGTATTCAAGGACTCACAAAGATTCGGGTTCCTCGATCAATATTAATATTAGACATTAGAAGCATAAGGAGTTCTGCATACAGACCATACACATTGGATTGAAAATTCCATGTGCTGCTGATATACAAACAAGACTCATCCTGCTGCCAAGATAAAAACCAAAGACTCATCAACTGCCCCTTTGCTAACTCCAGCAGGGTTCAGTTAAAAAAGAAAAAAGCCTCAGCAACTGAAACAGACCGATTTACAGTTTGATGGCTAAACTCTGAAACACTCTGGCCATGGTGTTCTTTATTCTACAAACTGCATTTTTCTGCAGAACACTGTTAGCTGGCTCAGGAGCTTTCTTCTACAAAACCTATGTAGTAATCTTTCATTTCTACATACCAAATTTGTGGCATTGCTAGAACAAAAACTGTACGAAGGATATGTCTACCAGGTGCTCTTCTTCATCATCACACATTCTGAAAGATGCCCAAGAGTAGTTTGAGTTGATCGATGCTACTCCTATCACTCACCAATTCGCTTCACAAATCGACCCTGAAAATTTTTCGTAACAGATGAGATATTCAGACTCCACAACCATTGTTCTTAAAATGAACGGTGCTATCTTTTGCAGAAAGTTCTCCTCCTGCTTATAAGTTTTAAGTTATTCTGACTTCTACCTAATACAAGTGTGTTATGCATTAAGGATTTTATGATCCATTAGCTAAAAGTATGATTTATTACGACGAAATTGTAACTCATTCCCCTTGCACTTAAAGTTTCAGCTCCTGCTATTAGCAATGTGAAACACCATTGACCTCAATCATAACCAATCGATCATAGAAGGGTAAATACATCATCAAAATTCAAACACAATGGACTATGATCATACATATAAAGTCAGCAACCAAGCACAATGATGGAGTGATGAGCAAGTAACTAGTTACCTTCAATCGGGGCCGTTTCTCAGCATTGAGCTTCCTAACCTCATACCGAATCCGCTTAGAGAAGAGCCTGTTCTGCCTCTTCTCCTTGTACCTCAAAACACTAGCTTCTCTCTGCCCAAGCTTCCATTCTTTTTCACCTCCATTCTCCTCCATTTCCATGCTCCCCATGTCAGGCACTCTCCATAGGTTGCCCACATTCCCACCACACTCCACAGAGCCCTGCCAATTGACCAAAAAGTGTCACTAACTTGTTCAAGTAGTAATCACCATAGCAAAAAAGGCCAAAACTTCAGAAACCACATGGGAATGAATCCCTTTGATCCTTCTCCAATGATTGAAGAACTCCAATTCTAAACCTTATAAAAAATTACTTCCAACATACAAATGAAACCAATCAATTCATCTTGCAAGGAGGGGCCATGGCCCCATTACCCCAGCTGGCTAATAGTTCCATCCATCTTGGGTCAGCAAAAAGGCCAAATATTTAATAGCACACAATGGACCAAACCATTCTATGCATTAAGTAAATTGATGATAAAATATCAAACGCACAATAAACATTTAGGAAAAGGAGTAGGCATATGATCTGGTCTAATTTAGTCCCGAATCGAACTAAATTGGTATGCAAATGCTTCGAAATTAGACTTAATTTCGTTATGTAAACCCCGAAAAACCTTGAATCTGAGAATTAAGATGGGGATATTCTATCCAAAAACCTTGGTCTAACATGATCACATGCCCAGCCAAACCATAACGCCAACCATATTTAGCAAAAAGCCAGGACAGTCAATCAATTAAAGATATAAAAAAAATCATTTCATAAGAAAGGCATTAGTAAATTTAGTAAAGATTGGATCTTTTCTCACGTACGCTGGAAGGAGGAGAATCATGCAAATCAGGGACGGTCTGCGGCGGCGGCTCGCCGCCGTCGATGTATAGAGATCCTTTATCGGACCAAGCATCCAAGATCTCCTGATAATCAAGCTTCAATCCCACCACCGCCGACAACCCATTACTCTCCCTCTGCTGCTCCATCAGCACCATTCCCAACGGATCAAAATCAGCTGCGTCGGCGGGAACAAATCCAGATGGAACCAAGAAATCGCCGCCGGCGCCGCTATTCACCTCATCTTGCTCGAATCTCTTCCTCTTTGTCGCCTTCTTCTTCTTCGGCTGACTCTCCTCCACCACTTCACAGTAGCTCACCCACCGCTCCTCGCTCGCGTCCCTCTCCCTGGACCGCATCGCCGCCCGTACCAGCCACTGATCAAACGGCGCCGCTTCGCCGAACCCCTGAACCGCTCCGGGGAAAATCGAGTAATTTGGAGAAATTGGGTCTTCCTCCGACGTCGTCGTAGTAGTAGTGCTGTCGAGGAGACCGTGGAGGGACGTTGAAGTGTCGGCGGCGTCTGTTTCCAACAGAATCGCCACGTGATCATCCGCCTGATGAATTTCCTCCCGAATGCGCCGCTGCTGATCTTCCTCGCCGCCGCTGACATTGGGGTTTTCAGCTTCTGGGTAAAGAGGGAAGAGGTTCAGCTGATGATGTGTTTCTTCCGCAGGCGAACCCATTTTCGTTTTCTTCTTCTTCTTGTTCTGGGTAGCGTGTTTGGATTCCAAAGCTAGCTCCTTTAGGGTCGGGTTTTGGTTCAGCTGGAGCTTTAGCGACAGGTACTTGGGCTTCTTGCTTCTCGGCTTCTCCGACGATGCAGCTGCTGCAATTGCTTTTGCTGAAGGAAATCTCCTTCTGCTGCTCATCTCTTCACCCCTCCTTCGATCTTCCTCAATGTTCTTCAGTATCTAGTGAGGCCAGGCAGAGTAGGGGAGGCAAAAACAGAGCAAATGGGGGTGGGTCAGGGAGAAAGGTGGGAACTTTTTGGTGGGAGGAGGGGAAAAAGGGGATTTTGACATGAGGAGCAATGAATGGTACTATTTCCCTTTCTGTGTTTTGTTTTATTGGTGGGAGGGAATATGATAAAACGATAAATCAAGGAGTAATGATGATGAGGAACTGAGGATGGAGGGAATGGGGACGTGGAGGAAGGGGATTGGAGGGAGCGATGGATTGTGTTGTTATCTTGGATTGTGGTGGGAAGATGGATTTTGGGGATTTTGGGGAATTGGGTGCGCAATGGGGTGTAAATCTGTCATTTGTAGGGGTTCTTGGATTTTTTAGATTTTGGATAATGGCAATGGGGGAGATGAGCAAGGGACGCCTACAATTGGAATTGGTCATGTGATCAAAGAGGGATAAATAATGAAGACTCTTCTTGTACCAAATGACAAATGTGATAAGAGTCTGAATATTCTTCTAATTTAAGTACTTATTTTATCACTTGTATGAAGATCTAAGAAATGTTACACGGCGTGGATAATCGGAGATGGTTGGAGTAGTAGTGTGAAAATGGTAACGAAGATAATGCGCGATAAGAACATTATCATTAAATTCATAAAAAATGCAGTGATGCATGGAAGAAGCAAGTATATTTGATTTTATTTTTCGAGGAAGTGTGAAAGAATTAAGAACTCATGGAACCAAAAAGACATTTGAATTTGTGTTTGAGTGTGTGTCTAATTATGTCGTTTCGTTTATTGCATCGATCACAAAAGTTTGAGCATGTGACTTTTGAGTCCACATCGTTTATAGCGATAGGTTTGTGTGGCCTATATTTTCGTAAAAGCAACTATCTCGCGAATTTTTCATATCACATGACGCGTAGTATGCATTCATTTAGCTTCACATTGCATTGTTTCATCTCACCTTGTTATTTAATATTGGGCATTGTACAATATAGTTGGGGTAAGTTTGTCTGACTTGTGTTATATAATACGAGATACCTGTGTCTATGCACATATTTTTCAAAGAAAACATTAAAGTTTTAGCTTATGAAAAATGATGTTTTGTTACTCTTTCGGCGTAGATGATTATAAGGTGAGGATGTGGAACTTATTGTGACTTTTTAACATAGCATTTAGTTTAGGCACATGTTATCTATGCTCGTCGGATCTAGTCTTTTGGAAGGGATCCCATTATGTTTTAGCAATAGTTTTGGCTACCCAATCTACACATTAGTCGTATCCCCTTGATAGGGTTTCTACGAAAATCAATGAAACAAAAGTTAGGATGGGATAATGTTCGGATGGCACGGAGAGTTTCCCATATATGCTTTATTTGGCTATCTAACTTAGCTTGTAAGCATGGTTGTCATGCCGGTGGCATGCCACCCGGTTCAACCTGATTCAACCTGTGTCGGTCATGAAAACGGCATGACACTACCGGTATGACCGGTATGACCGGTATGATCGACTTACGTATTTTAAGCAAAATGACATCATTTTAATGAATTTAATTAATAAAAAGAATAATTTATTATTCATTTAATGAATTTAATAGTTAAAAGTTGATGATATTTGTTGGATTGTAACTAAATTGTCCACAAATATGTTTTATATATGATTAAATACATTGAATATTAATTATTTTCACATTTTTTTAAACCGGGAGAGAAGAATCACCGGTGGGGGAATACAGGCCAAGCCCATGGGATAGGAAAAAGAGGGAATCTTCAGCCATGCACTGCATAAACCGGCACAAACTGGTTATACTACTGGTCGTACCATTCCACTTGCCAAACCGGCACAACGGTATAAACCGGTTTGACAACCTTGCTTGTAAGTTGTCATAGTTTGGAGGGTTAAAGATCACATCCATCGGCCCATCAGGATGAGTACGTCCTTCATCATGTGAATCTGGCCACTAAAATTTCATGATCGGAGGAACGAAAAATCTAGTACAAGTTTCTTCATGTTTTAGACAATGAAAGAAGATAAGAGTGCATAACCAGCGAATGCCACATGCTTACCATCTAAGCTAGACATATCATTGCCCTAATCCGTTAAAGTCTAACTCAAAATTTCATAAGAAAAGAAAGAAAAAAAAAAGTGTTGAAAGTCATCATCATCCCGACGTTCTCTACCAACGCTTACTTATGAGCAAAAAGGGTTATATATAATCAACCCTTTAAATAAGCAAGGCTTTTCCGATATATATAGTTGAAGTCTTGAAATTAGTTGGTGACAACATCAAAATTTTGCGTTACATGAACTACAAAATGGAATTGACAAATTGCCCCACTACATAGAGCTAAAGAATCGGCCATTTAATTGATGAATGATAACTATATAGGCTCCCCCCACTTACTGCAAGTCCCGGGAACGACCAACGAGAGGTGGTATTGTGTTCCCTAAACCTTCCTTTTCTCTACTGTAGGCCCCAATTCTACCCAAGACATGATAGAAGTAAATCCTAAACTCTAACTCTAAATCGCTAAACTCTAAAATCTTCAAATTGAAGTAAATCTTGAATGATTTTGTGCAAATCCATGTGTTTTCTTGTCCATCATATCACAAGCGACAATTGACATCAGCTTGGCATGAATTGTTTTCTCAATATGAAGATTATGAGGCAAGTGCATTAAATAGTATAACTCGACGGGCGTACGATAGTGTGAACGTAGGGTTATACCATACGTCATGCGTATAGGCCAGACTGGTGTACTTCTAGAGTATACTATACTCTAGGTAGTCTCAGTAAGATATCTTCGTCTAGACCATGAATTAATCGAGTTTAAGGTATGATATTATACCCTATCCTTTAATGGATTAATCCATGTCCTGATTCTCTAAACCCAAACCTGAAGTACAATTTAATAGAAAACAATAATTGACCGATGAGATTGGTCGGAGCTTAACGAAATACATCTAACAATCAAATCACCTGGAGTATACTATACTTTCTAGAGTATACAAGTATTTACCATATATATGATCAGTGAAGGAGAAGGAAACTATAAGATGGGTGAAGGAGGAAGAATCGGTTGGATGCAGTGCATATATTGGTGAGAAAAAAGATTAAATTTTATTATTATATTTGAATGGAAGACATTTTGAAAAAAAATTGTATTGTAAAAGGGAGTGGGAAAGTAAAATTAATTATATTTTTTATTTGATTCACATATCACTAATTTAATGGTTAAATGCGAGAGTGATACCAAATAAGATAAAGATAATGGAAATGTACAGAAAGTAACCAGTAATGTAATAAAGCTGTAAATTTTTCGGATGTCTGTAAGCTGCGTGGTGGGGATGATCCAGCCACATAGCATAAAATATAAAGTTAGTGACTACTAATACGATTAAAAAATTTAGTGACAAACGTGAAACAAAATGGTGAACTCAATGACCAAGCTTGTCATTTAGCCACTCCTTAAAACTATTAAAAAGTGGCAAGTATTATTAAAAAAGTGATAAAATAAAGGGTCAATAGCAGTGGTTGCGAAACTGTATCGTATTGAGAGTCTAATCGAAAAATCACATATAGTGCTCAAACCGATAGGCGATCTTGCTGGTATGAAATGGTTGAATCACAGTTCAAATACAAAATACTGAATTGGTATTTTTTTTTTTATAATTTTAGTTAAAGGATTTAGCTGTGAAAATTTATAAAATATAATTGGCATTTTTAGAATTTCTGAGTACAAGCATACGTCAATTTCGTTAAAAGTTTAGGCTTTCTGATAATTATATTATCCTAAAAGAAATAGGGTCTTTCGATTTTTACCGGCCTAAACGCCTAAAATTATTACTGTGTTATGAAATAACAAGGAAGAGGAACATACACAAGAATAAGAGTAGAGACACAAGAAGAGAGGAGGAATAAAGCTTTCTTATTCATGTGTTCCTTAGTACAAGGAGATCATCAATTTATAGGCACACATCACATAACCTCTACATTCTTACAATTAATATACATGAATGTGAGAATGAATGTGAAATAAAAATGGGGTGGGGGTTACATGTAACACCCAATTGTGCATCTAATGTGGTGGTCATCGACATAAATATTTACAAATGTATTCTGCACACTCAAATTTTCTAGCATTTGAAATGTTTGGTCCATGACCAGAACCATTTGTATTAAAGGGGGAAACTTTTGATAACTTGTTGAGTTCATGTGAATTAATGATACTATATGCTAACTAGCATGCCTCGACATGAGATCATAGGCTTAGCTTGTTCTCATAAGAGAATTTGTGTTTGATTGGATAATCATCAAAATATATCTATCATTCAACAATGAATCTCCCAAACATCAAGTTGCGGTAGATAACATACATATATGACGATATAGTTGATGCATCAATCAAAATCATAAAATTCATATATGATTTGCATGGTGAGTGTATTTTTCTGCGTACACTTTTATAAAATCTCAACATATTCATTTATTTGATTGATGAATCCTCTAAACTCTCACTTAATTTCCATATGATATCTCAATCATTTTTTTTTCGCATTTGTATCCAGGATGGTATAACCGGACATGCCAAAACAAAAAGTTATCCGATCTTGTAAACTTCTAGTTTACACTTTCATATGTACTAATATACATGTAGTACAAATTTCTCCGGTTAAGTATATGTTCTCTTATAACACAAAGCTGATTCAATATCAATTATGATATTCGTTTCTGCGAATATCTTCATAATTCTGTAATGCATCTTCAACTGGCAGTTTAGTTCCTTCGCGTCTCAAAACATTAGCTCTTCTGGAGCCTTCACATACTATTTTACAACATTTTGGTCATTAGGCACCTTCCGATTTCGGCGAACTATTGTGAGCAAATATCCATAGTGATAAGAATAATGTTTAGATACTTCAAGTAACAAAACACAATCTCTTCCAGAGCTTTTCCTTACTTTCATACTATATGATATAATACTAGTATTGACTTTTGCGAATATTCATTCTATACAAAAGTATACAAAATAATAATAATAACATCAATATAAATTTGTTTCATTACACATTTCGACATACAGAGGTTATAGTATATGATCATGACTTTTGCTACATGAATTCTTGTGTCATCCTC